CTTTTTCAACGAACACATTTGACGCTTCATAAAACGTCACAATGTTCTATGTCTATGTGGTTCCGAACTGCGTTTCCGTGAAAAATTGCGGCATGATTCCGTTAAATCACGTTTTTCACAAATTTCTTCTTTTGCATTACCGTGCATGAAGCCTACCACAGTAACACATGAACATTTGCTAAGCAAGAAATTTTTACAGATTTTTAGGCTAGCTTCGGCGGTCCTCGGTGATTTTCTAGCAGCAAAGTCGAAATCACAAGTTTTGGAACACCAGCTTAGAGGTCTCTTTTTGGTGACTAATATAGTCTCAAGCTTAACACTCTGTCATGTAACCCAAATCTTCTATTCACTTCTTAGTTTTGAGATTTCAAGCTATGAATATGGGTTTTATTTAAGAAATTAATAATTTCCGTTCCAACTACGCAAGTGCTTTCGCGCCAATCTGAATATGAATAAGTGATTACCATGGTCTAACATATCTCCTAGTGATTGCGTGTTAATGGACGCTGGTTGTGATTTGAACGGATACGTTTCTGATATAACGAGGTGCTACCCCATAAATGGAGAATTTACTCCCGCCCAACGGACCCTCTATGACGCCCTGCTATATGTTCACGAACAACTACTGGTTTACGCCAACGATATGGAGAAGGTAGATTACCAGCTAGAGGTTTGGCGAAACGAGGCGCGGAGATGGAAGGGGAGAGGAGAGGGAAAGAGAAGAAGGCGCGCTTTCGGCCTTATGGGCGCGACTTTTGATAGTGTCTACATGATTTATCAAAGTTACTTATTTTCATTTTAGGATAATAATGAATTCTCAGAATTTTAAAATTCGAATTAGTCTTTTAAAAATTTCATAGGGCGGTTACAAGCTCACCAAAAATTCGGGATCCTAAAATTTTTTTGTCTCCTGCTCCTTCCATTGCATGCAGTGTTCGGGCAAGAAGTCAATCTTGAAATTTTTTGCTTGCCTGGCTTATTCGCCATCCTGAATCCGGAAACCCACATTGGAGAGCGCGAAAACGGCGAGAAAGGGCTCTAATGCAGGAGGAAGTAGCAGGTGGAATGGTGAGTTCACGGAGTGGAAAACCCTGCCCACCTGCTGATTTCCCTCCTGCATTCATACCCGTCGCCGTTTTTGCGCTCAGCATAGTGGATTTTTGATTTAGCTTAGCGTTTAGACCCCCATGTAAGCAGAAAATCTCATAATACTTCTTGCTCGGACGCCTTTATTCGGTTCACTACTACTAGTGGGATTCAATCTTTTTATGGGTGATCTGATTTGTATATTTAGGTCCGTCTGAGCCATCTATACAGTCGTATGATTGAGCTGATTGCATCAGCAATTCTAGAAGTCGGTTTGTTACCACAATCCGTCGATCACAGACAATTGCTTGACGTAAGTTATTTGACTGGGTAGGATAGAAGAACAATACGCCATCCACCTGTATTTCTGCGGACTACTGGTCGTCAGGAGATAAGCAATAACATGAGCGAGAGGACCAGTGGTCCACTATATGGTAGCGTGGTTGATGGCGGTAATGGGTCCTTCTATCACTCCGTCTGCTCTTCCGAGGTTTCACTGATGTATGACAGACTGCCGAGTCATTGTGCCCGCATCACGTCAGTCATTACCTCGGTATGGACGTTCATGATTGTCCCACTATATCGCGCGACGTCGATGTCCCAGCTGGTACCGTCTTCACGATTGAACCGGGTAAATTGCTTCAATCCTCTTTGGGAAGGCTTTGAAGAACCTTTTTTTAGGACTCTATATCCCAACCAAATCTTCCTTTCCAGAGGAGTTTCGAGGTATAGGATTTAGAATAGAAGATGATGTTGTAGCGACCAAAGACGGTATAGAAATACTGACCGATACTGTACCTCGTTCTTCTAATGAGATAGAATATCTCATGCGATCTCGATAAATGTCTTGCCTCCTATCAGTCTGAAAGAGAATATTCCATTGAATAAAAGTTAGCGTTCTGTGTTCGCACTTATCTGTAGAACCGTTGTGTAGCCGCCGCTAGATTACATAGGTACAATTTCTCAACTTATGTACAAGTAACCCACCAACTCGATGGTGTGAAAGACAAGACCTAGGTAGCCATTTTATGTCTGCTCAAATTAGTGTACCGCAAATGGAAGTGACTAGACACTCTTATGTG